TTTTATTTTTTATTTTTGGTCGAACTTCGACTACTTATTTATTTTATACGACCCATGACAAATTTGATTTGACTGGGCTTTTTATGTTTCATGATAAGTTGGACTTGAATGAAGTCCAACACTTACCTATTTATATGAATGCATAATGAGATTTTGAAACAAGTATGGTAAATCTTGCAAACTGAGGTAAAATACATATTTATTTTATTATTATTTTTTTCTCTCGCCTCTTTCGCTTCTCTCTTCTTCTTCTTTTTAATTAAATTTTCTTGGTTTCCGTCGCCACAGAAATGTGCGGCAGAAACTAGAAACAAATTTTGTAATTGGTTTTTGCCCATAATTTCTGCCATGTGCAAAAACTATTGGTTTCTGCTTTTGTAGAAACTCTTTGCTTTATTTTTATTTTTGGCAGAAATTTGATTTCTGCCATGTGCAGAAACTTTTTGTTTTATTTTTATTTTATTTTTTTATTATTTTTTTTGGGCCGCCGCCAATTGTTTCAATTGGTTTCTTTCAAAAGCAGAATTATTATTATTATTATTATTTTTTGCAGTTTCATTTTCGACCTTTTGTTTTTTTTTTCTTTTGCTTTTCTTTTCCTTTTTTTTATACACGTAACTTTTTTTCTTTCTTTTTTAACTGCCCCTTTATTTTGACCGCCTCCTTTTTTATTTGTTGATTATTTTGGTGTGGTTATTTTTAACAAAATTGAAACTAATATTCTTCATCATTTTTTTCAGGGATTCAACTCTTTGAAGTGAATCAAGGATTTTGAGGTTCAAAATTTTTTCATGTAGAGTTTTTTTTTTTTTTTTGTCGCAATGATTTTATGAGTTCAGGAAATATATACTTATGAATAAACTCAAAATTGCAAACCTCCATACACATTGAGGACCAAGGACTGTCACTTTTCACCATTCAATGCACTTTTTGTTGGGAACCAAGGAACTGCTCCTTCAACCTCCCAAGACATTTTGTGTTAAGGACTAAGGACCTATTCCTTCAACTATCTAAGACACTTTGTGCTGAGAACCAAAGACATGTTCCTTCAACTGTCCAAGAAACTTTGTGTTGAGGACCAAGAATTGGCTTCTTCGACCGTCCAAGGCACTTGTGTTGAGGACCAAGGACCTGATCCTTCGACCGTCCAAGGTATTTTGTGTTGAGGAACAATGACATGTTTCTTCAACTGTCCAAGATACTTTGTGTTGAGGACCAAGGACTGGCTTCTTCGACTGTCCAAGACACTTTGTATTGAGGACCAAGGACCTACTCCTTCAACCGTCTAAGGCATTTCATGTTTGGGACCAAGGACTTACTCTTTCAACCGTCCAAGGCACTTCATGTTTGGGACCAAGGACTGGCTCTTTCTATCGTCCAAGGCACTTTGTGTTAAGGATCAAGGACCTATTCCTTCAACTGTTCACGACACTTTGTGTTGAGGACTGCTTA